GTGGATCAAGATTGAGGTGCACAGTCAACACAGACGATGGGAAGCCTGCCCAACCCCTGGTTTTAACCTCAGCAATTACCCCCCTCATCTCCAAATTCACAGAGAAGTCTCTGAGAAAAGGGAAAACGCTTCAAATGTAACTTCCTATTGTCCTTTCAGGAGATCAGCAACAGGCCATACCCAGAGCAGAGCCATTGTCATCCTTCCTGCACAGAAGAGGGACCCAATTTACAAGCTGGGGCTGAGGGGAACATGCCTTTGGCTCCAGCCGAAGCAGCGGAGGGATGATGCCTGCAGCCAGAATGTAACAGACAATCCCTTTGAGCGTGTTCTGCTCACCCCTAGTCGGATGGACTTTGGTTAGCTGCTTGATCAGCACATGGTCTGCTGCTCTCTGCATGAACGGCAGAGACAGAGAGTGGGACCATTTGGCCACTGAGTTTGAACCAGTCCCGTTCAGCAAACTGAATCCCCTCTAACATCCCAGCTGACAGCCAGATCCACTCACCTCCTTTAACTTCTCACGCCCTTGAACTAACTGGCATGCATCCTGCCAGGCAGTCCCTGCGTGACATGTCAATTGTGAGAGGTGTGGTGCCCAGGGAAGCCCTACATTGCTGCTCACAAGGGGTAAAGTCTCTTACATCCCTTAATGCAATTTGTTTACTATGCTGCAGCTTGTCTAGGGAGGCAAGGGGGCGTATATCCCCTGCGGGCGCATCTCCTCAGGGGAACCCTGCACGGCAGGGCGGCCCTGCGGGCGCATCTCCCCCAGGGAACCCTGCATGGCGCACAGATCACACGCGAAAGAGGCAGCAGTAAGATCTGAGGTGCCATACAGAGTCTGAGCTATTGTCTGCAATCCCCACTCCTAGAAAGCGCTGGGGTCATCAACTCTCCTCATCACGAAGGATCAGATGCAGCTCTGGCCCAAAGCAAACATTCAGCTGGAAGGAGAGAGAAGTTTGTGCTGGTGAAGAGCAGAGTTCGTTTCGGAGGGTAGAAAAGCGACTGCTCACAATATTCAGGGTGTGGGCGCACCACTAATGTATATATATATATGATATGATATTTTCTGTCTTATTATCTATGTCTTTCCTAACCCATTATTATTCTGCTTTTGTAGCCTCTCTAACTTCCCATACCGTTTCACAATCACTGTCCCCACCCTGGTCAGGTGTTCAGTAGTGTATTCCTACTTCTCTACTCTTTTTATTCAAGCATGGAATTTCTGTCTATGGAGATTCCATGGTAGAGTTTGTTTCATGTAAGAACCTTATTTGACTCTATGTTTTAACATATAATGCCACTCCCCCACCCACAACCTACACTGTCATTCCTATATATTTTACACCCTGGTATTACCGTGTCCCATCATTATCCTCATTCCACCAAGCTTCCCTGATGCCTATTATATCAATATCCTCATTTAATGCCAGGCACTCTAGTTCACCCATCAGAGTATTGAGATTTCTAGCATTTGGTACATTTTGCCCAAAGGCCCTCTAAATGAGAGCCAAATTAAACCCTGCGACTCTGGCTGAAGCTAGCAGGAGTTGCACCATCCCACGCCAGGGCCATGCTGGTCACGGACTCCAAAGGGAGGGGCCTTTGGAACCAACACAGACGACAAACAACCAACACATTACGCAAGACATTATCTGGGACATCAGGCTGTTAATGGGCCAATGAGGCAGTGAGCCATTTGCTGGGTGGATGGACATGATGCCTTCAATATGCGTGGGCTGGCCACTGGGGAGCTAGCAAGTTCCCCACCCTCCTTAATGGGGATGGACGTGGTCTCCTAAAACCGGCTCTTCTCCATAGCGCCCCAGTTGAAGGGCCCTTCCAAACACACCTGCCAGCCATAGGATCGGTTGGAAGATGGGGACCATCCTACCACATTGCCTGAGGTGTACCGTGCCTGTTCGCTGCAGCGTTATATGGGAAGGGGCAATGCCCCTCCCCCCTTGCCAAGAGACATACCAGCACCTCCACCCCCTGCCATGTTCATTTTCAAAGCACTTAATATTAGCTGATTAGTGCCAGGGTAAGTCTAATTTAGGTGATAGGATGATACTGAAAACCCCAAGAGATCATTAGGTCTGCATCATCCACTTCTTAGCACCTGGCATTGTCTTTTTACGCCCACTTTACACAGGTAGGAATGACCAGAAGAGGGGTGAGGCCGTGGGGAAATCAGGTGTGGGGTGTGCTATGAAGTGCTTTCCAGACAGGTTGGAGTAGAACACAGCAGATTCCAACCCCAGCCACCCTGGGGACGCCCAGAATGACTCCTGTGAAGTCAATGGGATCATCTGGGGTTTACACCAGCCTCAGTGAGATAAGGCTCCTGCCTTACAGCCGCAAAGAGCTCAGGGAACGCTAAGTTGCAAAAAGCCCGCGGGTTTGAATGGCGATGTTTTGTACATGACCCACGAGTGCCACAACATTTGCTCAAGCTGAGCGTGTGTCAGTCTGTTCCACTGAGTAGCAGGACCAGGGTCACCAGGTTTTTAGAGGAGGGACTGGAACGATAATTACCGATCACACCCCAGAGGCACAGAGCTCTCTACGCATTTACAGTAATAGATGCCGTCTAATCAATCCCCATCTGACAGCAGCAGCAGCCTCGTTCTATAGATGATGCCAAGGTTCTCCAGAGAGGGGAAGTCACTTGCAATCAATAGCAGAGCTAGGCTAAGGACTCAGGGGGTTCCCAGCTCCCAGTCCCATGCTCAGACCACATTTAACCGCTCACACTAGTTCTGCATTTGCCAGTCTCTCCCACCTGCGCCCTCTTTAGCTTGTTACCTAGAGCAAAGGGCCTGAATTAAAATATACAAGCGGGATCAAATCTGGATCCATAATTTGCAGCTTCCAAGGGCCATTTCCAGAACACATCATCTGAACAATCCTGCGCATTGGGGGAATATCCGCATCCCTAGTTATGACTGTGGGGTGATGTGGGGAGAAGGGGTTGGCAGCCATCCGTGGTTGCTGCCATTTGAACAGGGTTGGCTGTTATCAAAGCAAACACTGCACATACAAGCTTTCAATGGGAGTTCCCAGATGACTGCTATTCCTCAGATCATCCAGTTTTATTCCCTGAGCCACTATGGGGACCTGGGACTTTTCAATGATCTTCTCTCTTGGGAACCACAGGGGCTCCCACAGCACACAGCACAGCTGCCAGTTGCTTGGGTTTCCCCGTGGAAATAGCAATATGGCTGCACAACAGTATTATTTATCTGTACGGTGGTAGCACCTAGGATTCCCAGGCATGGACAAGGACCCGGATCCTGTGGTGCTTAGGGGCTGTACAAGCGCAGAATAAAACCGGTCCTTGCCCCAAAAAGCTGGCAATCTAAGTAAAGCGAAGAGTGCAGGCTGTCCTGGAGATGCGTGTGCCCTGAGGCCTCTTCAGTGCTGCTTGGGATGCAGGAGGAAGGGGAAATACGTACCCAAGCGAGAAGTGAACCCACCATATGGGACTCATGCCCTAGCTTCTCTCAGCCTACAGACTCCCTAAGAAAAGGTCCCAGCCACACACATGCCTCTGCTGGGGATTTCCCGCAGCTGCGCGGAGATCCCCACGGCTTCTTGGCAGCGGGTATTGAGGGCTGCGTTGCCTATGAACTGCAGAAGGCCTCTGCTCCCCCCCCCCAGCTCCAGCTTCACCCCCCACCTCTGTTTGCACAGAAGAATTTGTTCCAGTCTGCACTTTCCCCATATGCCTCCCACTATTAACCTCTTCGTGGCAACTTAGGGACCTGTTGCTTCCTAGCTGCGCCAGCTCATTCCACTACATTGTATTATAGGAAACTGCTGCAGGAGTGGACGCCTTGCTCTAGTCGCACAATTTGATTTTATCCAACAGCTCAGCTAGGAGGCTTTGAGAGAGCCAGCAAGGGGAGGACAAAGCGGGGATGGGACACTGAGTCTTTCACCTCGAGGTCACCAGTTCAAATCCAGCTCAGGCTGGCAGAGCAGTTGGGTCTTTGGACAAAGACCCAGATCACAATGGAGATGACAGCCTCAGTGGAGAACCAAAAGATGCTGTCAGACACAGGGACCAAAGAGCCTCTACAGGTCAGTAGTTGTGGGGGGATGTGGCTGGGGATTTGTGGGAGACTTCCCCATAGCCAAGACTCTAGGGCTGCCAAGCCAGCAAGTCACCTCTTCCTGGAGACCTCCCTTCCATCACCCCCCTCAGAAAGCCTGGGATGCGGCCACTGAATGCCGGGAATGTGCTCACATCTCCAGGAACCCCCCCTCCGTTGTATCTGAAGAAGTGAGGTTTTTACCCACGAAAGCTTATGCCCAAATAAATCTGTTAGTCTTTAAGGTGCCACCAGACTTCTTGTTGTTTTTGTAGATACAGACTAACACGGCTACCCCCTGATACTTGATACCCTCTCCCTGCTGAAATCCCGGGGTGCTGAGAGTTGGCTTGTGGCTTTCCAGGCTCCCCAAAGAGCAATTGTTCCCCTGGAGACCCCTCTTGTGCTGCTTGCCTGCACAGTTTGGTTAAAGGCAGCCTGGAAGCTCCCTCCCAGTCCTACCCCCCAGGTCCCGGTCACCCCAAAGACTCAGCTGGACAGAAACAATACCCTCTGGAGTGCTAAGAAACGGTCCAAGGGCCTAACCCCAGACGCACACAAAAAAAGGTAGCCATCCCGCCCTGGCAGGCTCCCAGCCCCACTCCCCCAAGGGGGAAACAGGCACCTCTCCCACCGGGCTCCCCAGCTTCTTATGGCCCTAGACAGCAGATCCCATTATTCCAGAGCCCAGCACCCCACACTCCCCGAGCCCCTCCCATCACGGGGGCTTTCCCCCAAGCCTTGCACCCCCCCAACAGGTCTCTGCTCCCCTGAATGCCTGCCCCCCCCTCCAGCTCCCTGCACCCCCTTTCCCCCGCCCCTCTCCTTGGCCCCGCCCCCTATCTCTGCCCCCCTGCAGACCCCAGGCCTGCCACACCGCCCAGCCCCGGTGCTCACCGCGCTGCGCAGCCGGCTCTCGGCCCGGGGGCCTCTCCCCGCAGCCCGGCTCCGCTCCGCTCCCCGCCGCCGCCGCGGACAACGCAGCAACAGCTGCAGCAGCTGGCAGCTCCGCCCTCCCCAGCATCCCCCGCGCCCGCGGGGCGCGCTGGGAAATGTAGTTCCCCTGGGGCGCTCGGGACTCCCACATGTCCCATGAGGGCCGCCGCTGGGCGGGGGGCGGCGGCTGCTGTACATTCCCTGTCAGCTCGCTGTAGATGGTGTTTTGCGCTTGTTCATTTTTATTACATTTCTGTGCATTGGTTCTCATTCTCTGACTTGTTATTGTTTGCAGCACCTGTGAATCTCTCGTGAATTGTCAGCAGCCCAGGCGTGTCCTTTTACTCAGTTATGGTTTGCTGACCATCGGCTGCGTGCGTGCCCGACACTGCATGGGACACACAGGTAAGGCATTAGGCTGGCAAAGACTACAGTCCTGATCCTACACAGGCTTCACTTTCCCACCATGAATTGTCCCACTGAAATCAGTGTAGTAGTAAAGTTCAGTGTTGGAATAAGTGCTTGCAGAATTGGGGCTGTACGCGTGGGCTTAAACTTTGTGTGTGAGTAAATGCACTGAATTCAATGGGGCTAAGCGCATGCTTCACTCTTTGCAAGGGACAATAGCAAAACAGTCCCTGCCCTGAAAAGCTTACATGTTCTGTGAGCTCAGCCCCTTCAAACTCTCATATCTTACTCCCATGAGCTAGCCTGGAGCTTGTAATGGAAACAACATGGGTGGATTCTGTTCCCAGATGGAGCCCAACTGAAATCAAACGGGGCTCTGTGTGGGCATGAGGATCCAATCGCAGGGAACGGGGGGGGGGGGGGGGCTGAGAAATCAGATAAGTAAAGTTATTCACATGTGTAAGTGTTTGCATGGCCAGCTTCTGTTTGTCCTGTGTTTCAGCAAGAACTACGCATTGCCAAGAAGCAGACACTGTGATATAAGTGTGTGATTTTGTGCTGAATAGAGAGGTGAGATGGGCCTTATGAATAGCAAAGTGGACTGAGCCTCAGGAAATCTGGGTCAGTTCTTGCCTATGTTAGTGATCTGGGGGCAAGTCTCTCTCCTCTGTTTCCCACTTATCTATGTAGTCTGGGAACTCTTTGGGGCAGCGACTGCCTCACTCTCCTTTTTTCTCCACTTTCCTCCAAAAGGCTCCCCTGCTCCCATTCACGTCAGTCCTTATGTTCTCCCCCATGTTATAATTATTATTATGGTAGCACCTTGAGGCCCAGCTGAGATGAGGGCCCCATTGTGATAAGTGCTGTATATATACATAATCAGAGACACAGAACTTACAGTCTAACTAGACAAGACAGACAAAGGAAGGACAGTTACCTGCTTTGTACAGAGGGGGAAATTGAGGGCTGGAGAGAATAGATCACTTTGCCCATGTAACTCCAGGAGTCTGTGGTAGAACTGAATCCAGCTTGCCTGAGTCTTAGCCCAGGATACCAGCCTTTCCAAAATGTCCAAGTTTCTAGCTTCCAGATACTGGCAGAAATATACAACGGGGAGGAAGGAAATTTGGCCTAAGGACACTGGGGCAAACTCTTGATCTTATGAAAAGTCCCTCATGGGTTCTTTCATGTCTGCACAGAGCAGAGTCCGGATTTTTAAGGTTGTTTCAAAAGATACCCTGACCCCACCCAATGCTTAACTTGTGTGTCCCAGGCAGTTTTCTAGCTGAGTTTCTCTGATGAGACCTTAAAAACTGGAGCCCTGTCCTTTCTGCTTGGGTATTAAAGAACCCATTGCCCTTCTTGTAAGAGTGGGGAGTTGGCCTTGAAGTGTTTGGCCAAAATTCCCCTCCCCTTCCCACAATTGTGTGGTGTGTTAGTTGTCTGTTGGCCTCCACCCCAGAGGTGGCTGCACTTCAATAGTGCCATGTGCATACTGTCTGTATGGCACTTCGGGACTCCTGTGGGATGAGAGGTGCTATAATAACATACAATAACGAACATCAGCTGTTAATAGCAATAATAATCACATGTAATGTAGCATACTCTGTGGGGTGCAAGTATAATACTATAGGGGTAGGCATAACATGTTCATAGCCAGCTGCAAACCGAGGCTCTGATCCAGCAAACACTTAAGCATGTGCCTCATTTTTAAACCCATGAGCAGTCCTGTTGACTTCCAGGGAACTACTCACTTGCAAAAAGTTAAGTAGGTGCTTCAGTGGCTTGAGCATTGGCCTGCTAAACTCAGGGTTGTGAGTTCAGTCCTTGAGGGGGCTATTTAGGGATTAGGGGCAAAAATCTGTCAGGGGCAAAAAGGCAGTGATTAGTCCTGCTTTGAGTAGGGAGTTGGACTAGATGACCTCCTGAGGTCCCTTTCAACCCTGATATTCTGTGATTCTAAGTGCTGATCAGGGTCTGAGAGTGTGTCTGTGAATAAGTGGCACCCATTGTGCTACTGTAACCCACACACCTCCTGGGTGTGGTGTTCTGTCCTATCTAGTGGCACTGAGACTACTTGAAGAGAGAGATAAAATGACTCTGCTCTGCAGCCTTAGCTAATAGCCAGTTGGCTTTTAGCTCATGTGGTAGAGGCTTATGCACTAAGCTCCAAAGGTTCCAGGTTCAATCCCACCTGCTGATGACCAGGGTCTGGCGGTGTTACACTACCAATGTCTAATAATCCTATAATAATTGTACACACTGTGACATCTGTGGGACCAGGGTCAGGATCCGGTCTCCACTCTGAATTCTTTGGCTTGTGCATGGCAAGGGCGTCTGCTAAATAGCATTAGTCTGCTAAATAATCAAAGCTAAGTACCTTGCCGCTCCAGTCCCTCCGTATGCATGGCCAATTTGCATGCTGGCTATATTTGCTTTGGGCAGCGTGTGAGCTTTTCCCACCAAGCAGCAGCAGAGGGGGCCATGCTGTTATTTGGAAACCAGCTCCCAGGATGAGTTGCTTCTCTCCCTGGCACGGGCTAGTTTACTGTAGTATCTGCCTTAACTGACCAGGATCAGAGAGGGAGGAACAGAAAGCTGAAGACATCAGTGCCCCCTATTCATTGATCTGTGACTTGATCAATCACTGCTGCAGCGGAAATTGAGGAAAAGCAAAGGTAACTCACTGAATGACTTATACATTCCCCCGTGTGTCTGATCCACAGGGATGTAAATCTTTTACAATCTACAGCTGCAGAACCTACTTCTTTGGCCCACGCTGTTCCAGCTCCTGCATTTAGCACTGGTATGCCTTGGTTCAGTTCCTGATGGTAGCCAGCTCAAACACTTGAGGTCCCTGCAATGGTGGAGAGAAAATCCCTTCCTAAGCTCACATGTGGGGCTTGGTGGAGTCTGGTGTGTGTGAGCCAGAGTCACTGGAAATCAGCAGTTCTTCCTCGTTACCCCAAGGTAGCTGCCTGTCTCTTCCTCCGACCTTCCAGAGCGATGCTCAAAGGTGTGGGAACTGGGAGCTTAACTGCCAGATGTGCCTTGGAAAATTCCATCCTAAATCCACATTTAGGCACCCTAATAAAGTGGCTTGATTTTCAAAAGTGCGGCGTGCCCAGCAGCTCCCACTGAAACTCATACTCTACATGTTTGGCAGGGGGGGTTGTAATTGTCTTACCATGGTGTCCCCCTAATTACCGCTCAGGGGGGCTCTGATGGCCTAGAGGAGTTAACGCTAGCGCACGTGGATTGCCGTTTTAACCACTACCCAGGAGTTTGGAAAAGCATTCAGACCCTTCTACCCACTTTGCCTCGAGAACTAACCCAGCAGAGCAGCTCAGATTCCAGGCTGCTGTTAACAGTCACTTCCTTTCCTTTTTTATAAACACAGGCAGCAATCAGATGAATGTAGGTGAAGGTGCAGCTCCTGAGAGTGCGGGACTCTGACCTCTGTATGGCTGGAGAGAGACCCATGGTGCTGTGCTAAGGTCTTGCACATGGCTCTGCAGATGCACCACAGCCCTGACCCACAGCACCCCCTGCTGTTTTGATTGGGAATTCCCTCAGAGCTCTGCCAATGCCCCTCCATGCTGACAGGCCATGCCATCTGATAGGCCAGTCCTGGGCCTCACATACCCAGCTCTGCTGCATAGCACCCTGGGCTCAGGTCCGGGGTTCCCCGCAATCCTGACTCGCAGCCCCACCACTATTCCAGCCCTGGGCTCCTGCACAGCTGTCAATACCCCTCAAGCCCAACTTGCTGAATTTCATTTCAGCCCAGATTTCCCCCCCCACTCCGATTGTGCAATAATTAGCCAGAGAAACCTTGTTTTCTTTGACTGGAATTCGAGCAGCAAACATAAGAACATGGCGAGCTTTCCGGTGGTGCTCTGAATAGAAGTAATTGAGGTTTTCCTGTGCTGTTACCGGCAATCAATGCCTCTCTGCCATGTTATAGCCCTCTAACTGCTGAGTGTGAGCTCCCAGTCAGGCGCTCAGGAGCACATGCAAGGGGTCTGGCTCCTCATTTTTTGTCTCCGAGCTGTCAGCTGGAGTCATACTAGCAACCTGAGCCAAAAAAGCATGGCTGTTGATGGGGAGCAAGGTTTAATTTAGGGTTAAAAGCAACAGAGAGTCCCGTGGCACCTTTAAGACTAACAGATGTATTGGAGCATAAGCTTTCGTGGGTGAATACCCACTTCGTCAGATGCATGGCATGCATCTGACGAAGTGGGTATTC